ATCTCATTGGTAGCACACTAACTTCATGTTTTATCATGTTTTGCTTTCATATTTCTAGCATGTTTAACATTTTCTCGAATGTTATAAAATGTTTTAGCAAGTTGGTAGCAAGCAGTTTTCATTTTTTGAACAATACTGCCATGTTTTAGCAAGCTAAAAGCATTTTGCTAACGTGTTTTTACACATATTTAACATGTAACTAGCATAGCATGTTTGTGTTTTAGCATATTGGTTTACATTCTTACAGCTTTTAACATGTTCAATGTTTTAAACCATTCCTAACATGTTTGAGCAAGCTGCTAACATGTAACTTAAATGTTTTAGAATCCAGCTAGTTAATTTTACTTTTGACTAGCCTGATACCCAAATGTTTTATCTCTTTGGTAGAACACTGATTTAATTTTGTATCATGCTTTGCTAGCATGTTTCTAACATGTTTTACATTTTCTAGAATGTTTTAAAATGTTTTAGCCAGTTGCTAGCACGCAGTTTTCATTTTTTTGAGCAATACCACCAAGTTTTAGCATGCTATTAGCATTTTGCTAGCATGCTTTTACACATATCTAACATGTAAATAGCATTGCTAGCATGTTTGTGTTTTAGCACATTGGTTTACATTCTTACAGCTTTTAACATGTTCAATGTTTTAAATCATTCATAACATGATTGAGCAAGCTGCTGACATGTAACTTAAATGTTTTAGAATCCAGCTAGTTAATTTTAATGTTCACAAGCCTGATACCCAAATGTTTTATCTCTTTGGTAGTGAGATAAAACATTTAACATTTAAAACAGATTTAATTTTTTATCATGTTTTGCTAGCATGTTTCTAACATGTTTTACATTTTATAGAATGTTTTAAAATGCTTTAGCAAGTTGTTAGCAAGCAGTATTCATTTTTTTGAGCAATACCGCCATGTTTTAGCAAGCTAATAGCATTTTGCTAGCATTTTTTTACACATATCTAACATCCCTGCTGAAAAAAAAACAGCTTAAACCAGCCTACGCTGGTTAGCCAGTTTTAGCTGGTCATCTCCCAGCCTGACAGGCTAATACCAGGCTGGAAATGGCTGAAAACCAGCCTGCAATGGCCAAAACCCCACTTAAACCAGCACAGTTGACCAACTAAAACCAGCCAACTTGCCTAGGCTGGTTTAAGCAAATTTTTCAGCAGGGATGTAACTATGCTAGCATGTTTGTGTTTTAACACATTGCTTTTCATTCTTACAGCTTTTAACATGTTTAATGGTTTATAACATGTTTGAGCGAGCTGTTAACATGGTTTGCATGTTTTAGAATCCAGCTAGTCAATTTTAATGTTAATACCCTGATACTAAAATGTTTTATCGTATTGCTAGCATGATAGCTCACTGATTTCATGTTTCATCATGTTTCTAACATACATATTCCTAGAATGTTTTAAAATGTATTAGCAAGTTGCTAGCAAGCAGTTTTCATTTTTTAAGCCGAAAAGTTTTAGCATGCTAATAGCATTTCGCTAGCATGTTTTTACACATATCTAGCTTGTAAATAGCATGTAGCACGTTAAGCTTAACATATTGTTATTTTTAACTTGGCTATTGGCTCTTCTTTCTAGTTTTTGTGATAGAAATGAATTTGAATAGTCTTGACTTTATACATTCAGTCTTTAGCCTATGTTTTTGCTTAATTTTTTCAAATATTATGCAAATTTTTGACAAAACTAAGTCTGATAACTTAATATATGTTACTATGGTTAAAATATATGCTATATGCTTTATGAATTATTTTTCATATTTATTAAAACATGACAGATTTCTTATTATCAGTTTTCGTTGTAAGGCACTTCAGAAACACACACACACACACACACACACACACACACACACACACACACACACACACACACACACACACACACACTTTTTTTCTGTCTCAGCAACAGATCGAGATCAAGATTTAAATTTTTTTATTCATCTAAGTTAGTCTTTCGAGTGCAGGCCTTGACGAAAACCACATTTATGACCACGAGATCAAGACTCCAACCCTGCAGTCTAAAAATAAGAAAACTCAATTGGTGCATGCAGTGTTCAGCAGATGCTGTGGCTTGTGGGATCTTTTGGTCGCTTACAAATTTCTTGTTTTTAGTGAGATCTCTATTAAAACCATTTAAATGTATTTTCTGTCAAACATGCTAACGTAAGGCTAACAAAACCAGCATTAAAACAATCAAGCTGATTAACAGAATGATTTATACTAAAATGTTTCTTTATAAAAATACTTTGTGGGCTCTAGTGACTTATTGCTTCATTAAATATTACTAAAAGAGAACAAAATAAGTTTTAATAATATATCAGCTTACCAGTGTAAATCATCAGCAGAACATCAGAATGTGGAGGGAAAGTGAATGAATGGAGCTGCGTTCCCCTCTAGTGGCCGTCCATGCACCATAAACATTACCTCACAAAATTACGTCATTTTTTGGAGGATTGCACAACATGCAATTTCTTGTGCAATAGTGGACTGGCAGGTCCTGTTTCATTCCAGTTTATTGGTGACTAAGAACAAGTCTTTTGTTTTAAGGAGAAATCGCGTATGTATACGTATTTGGCTTCAATACAAATCCTGTTTCCATTCCATATAATTGTAACACACCCTTGTTTTAATAACTCATTTCTATTTATTCAATAACTTTAAATGCATATTAGCATATTAGCCATTGGTAAAGATCTAATAATGTACAAAATGTACAATAAGGTCTCTGATTTGATTTGTTTACAAACATTAACAATACATGTACGGTATTTAATAATCTTAGTTCAGCATGGACTAACGCATTATTAAAATCCAAAGTCATGCTTGTTAACATTAAATAATGCACTGAGTTGTAATGTAATGTGTATTTATATGGCACATTTATTGTGTATGACCATACACCCAAAGCGCTTCACAATCATAAGGGGGGTCTCCACACCATCACCAGTGTGCAGCATCCGCTTGGATGATGCGACGGCAGCCACAGGACAACGGCGCCAGTGTGCTCACCACACACCAGTTGTGTGGAGTGGAGAGACAGGGATAGAGCCAATTTGGTGGATGGGGATAATTGGGAGGCCATGATCATAAGGGTCGATAGAGGGAATTTGGCCAGGACACCAGGGTTACACACCTGCTCTTTCACGAGAAGTGCCATGGGATTTTTAATGACCACAGAGAGTCAGGACCACAGTTGAACGTCTCATCCGAAGGACGGCGCCCACTGACAGTTTAGTGTCCCCTTTACTTTTTACTGGGGCATTAGGACTCAAGGCTGATTTATACTTCTGCGTCAAACACCGGCGTATGCTACGGCGCTGACGCATAGCCCTTCGCCGTGGCCATCGCCGTCACTGACGTGCACCTCTCAAAAATTGTAACTACACGTCGCAACAACGCGTAGCGCAAGCTCTGTGATTGGTCGGCTTGCTAGCGCCGACGAGTCTGGGCGGGACCGAGAGCCGCGCGAATGGCGCGAGCGATTGTTTACAAGTGTGGAGTCCCGTGAAGGAGCTCCAGATGGAAAGTTTTGCTCTGTGTTTACCTCATGGTAAAAGTTGTTGCACGTCCGCCGGTTTCTGCCTCAAAATGAGCGAGTTTGAGTCACTTGTACATCCAGGAAGTGTTCAGGAAAAGCAAAACAGAAGCGAAGAAACTCTACACAGAGGAACATTTACACTTCACTGCCAACTAGCGTTTCAGAAGTGTTAATGCAGACCAACGGAGACAGCGCGCAGAAGTATAAATGCACAGCCACGCGCGTTGCCTGCGCCGTGAGTTGCGCCGGTCACTTGACGCAGAAGTATAAACCAGGCTTTACACAGACCACAGGTTGAGCGCCCCCTGCTGGCCTCACTAACACCACTTCCAACAGCAACCTAGTGTTCCCTAGTGGCCTCCCATCCAGGTACTGACCAGGCTCAGCCCTGCTTAGCTTCAGTGAGTCACCGGTCTTGGGCTGCAGGGTGATATGGAGTTAATATAAACAACTTTATTTTCATTACCTAACATTAACAAAGATGAATAAATACTGTAATAAATGTTGTTAGTAAATATATTAGCATTAAATATGAAAAAATGTTTGAAGAGTTACCATATTAATAACAGCATAAACTGCATATTTGAATAACAAATGCCACAACTATTTATATCTTCTCAATCTTAGGAACACTCACCAGCCACTTTATTAGGTACACCTCACTGGATAGTACTGGATTGGTCCCCTTTTTGCCTTCAGAACTGCCTTAATCCTTCGTGGCATAGATTCAAGAAGGTACTGGAAATATTTCTCAGATTTTGGTCCAAATTGACATGATAGCATCACACATCCCAAAGGTGCTCTATTGGATTCAGTTCTGATGACTGTGGAGGCCATTTGACTACAGTGTACTCATTGCCTCCTTCAAAGTCACCTTTCTTCCCATGCTCGGTTTGAACTGCAGCAAATCATCTCGACCATGTCTACATGCCTAGTTGCTGCCATGTGATCGGCTGACTAGAAATCTGCATCAACGTGAAGTTAGACAGGTGTACCTAATAAAGTGGTCGGTGCGTGTATATTATAGTTATGCATATTGCTTACATCAGTGGTCACCAAACTTGTTCCTGGAGGGCCGGTGTCCTGCAGATTTTAGCTCTAACCCTAATCAAACACACCTGAACAAGCTGATCAAGGTCTTACCAGGTATGCTTAAAACATCCAGGCAGGTGTGTTGAGGCAAGATGGAGCTAAACCCTGCAGGGACACCGGCCCTCCAGGACCAGGATAGGTGACCCCTGGCTTACATGAAAGAAAAACATGCGGATACAACTAAATTTGACTGAAATTTAATTTGCAAACTACTTTTAGACAAAATATAAACATCAATATAATTTAATATTAATATCCTACAGAAATAAAAATATTCCAGATTCATGAGTGACCGATACAGCAGCAAAATTAGAAATCAAGATGGCTGATACCACAAAAGTCACGAACAATCCCCCAAAGAAAGCTGTTTTATTGAGAATTAGGATAACATCACATCCTTGGTCACGGTGAACAGACTTATTACTTGGCATCATGTAAGTTTGCATATATCTGTGAACTCAAACCTGCAGTCAGTCTTCCGCGTTAGACCTTTGGCAACTTGAAGAATGTAAACCAAAACATAACGGTTACCACGAAATCAAACGAGAAAAATAATAAAAATAATAATTAAATCACAGAATGAGTCATGCTCCCATGATTCATCGCCAGCTCATGTTGCCTGGATGCTCTGAAGAAAGAACAAACATCATAACAAACCTTCAGTACAACAATAAAGTAGAATTGCTTTTCGATAACATCTTCATTACTAGCTTTATTTAAATAATTCAATCAATTGTATTTTTTTTAATTTAGACTCCTTTAATCTTCTTCATTAACTCTCAGGTGTACATCATCTCAGCCATGTGCGACATCTTCTTGGGGATGTAAAGGTAATATTCCATGTATCCGGAAAGGTCCTCTATTGTGATGTCATCCACGTAGGCACGGGCCTGTTCGGAGCAGGAGCGAGGGGAACTTGATGCTCCGTTATTACTCCCGCTGGAAGTTCTGCTGTTGGCTGAATGATCCTGCGGGACGGGCAGCTTTTGCTCACATTCGGATATCACATCTCGAAGGCCGGTGAAAGAGTAAACCTCGACCCCTTGCCATCCGGGACACTGGCACTCCCGCTGGCCACACGGGCACTGACCGCCTTCCTGTAGCTTGGACAGAGTCTGAAAGTCAGTGTTGGCTTCTCCTGTCTCCTGCGTTCCTGGGCCGCATCCTAAAGCAGGTCTGTTTTCCGGAGCGTTCTCGTCATCTGAGGAGGTTCTGGGATTGAGGGGTGATTCCTGACCCTTTGGAGAAGGGAGGTGGGTTTCGTAACCAACCACACCGAATGCAGTGGAGCACGAGGTGGAGAATGGGACATCTGTCCTGACAGCGCCGGTGTCATCAGGCTCTGGAGGGGTCTTGTGTTTGAGGGGTCCAGGAGGGGGAGACATTTTGCTGCAGTAGGTGAACTTTGGAGGATGAAGGATGGGAGATTTTGATCGCCGTCGGCGCTGGTTCCTCACAACAGCTCTTGATGACTTTCTAGTACATCTAATGTAAAACAAATAACGAAGTCCAAAGTATTAGTATTGCATTAAATTGTGTAATTTCTGTTTAAACCTTATAGAGCAGCGATCACCAAACTTGTTCCTGGAGGGCCGGTGTCCTGCAGATTTTAAGTCCAACCCTAATCAAACACCCCTGAACAAACTAATCAAGGTCTTATTAGGTATACTTGAAACACCCAGGCAGGTGTGTTGAGGCAAGTTGGAGCGAAACCCTGCAGGGCACCGGACCTCCAGGAACGAGATTGGTGACCCCTGTTATAGAGCATACAGTTAAAGTCAGAATTATTACCCCCCTGAATTATTAGCCCCGTTTATTTATTATAGATATTATAGATATATATATATATTTATTATAGATATTTTTCAAGACACTTCTATACAGCTTAAAGTGATATTTAGAGGCTTAACTAGGTTAATTAGGTTAACTAGGCAGGTTAGGGTAGTTAGGCAAGTTATTGTATAACGATGGTTTGTTCTGTAAACTATTGGGAAAAAATTGCTTAAAGGAGCTAATAATTTAGACCTTAAAATGGCTATTAAAAAATTTAAAACTGCTTTTATTCTAGCCAAAATAAAACAAATAAGACTTTCTCCAGAAGAAAAAACATCATCAGCTATACTGTAAAAATGTCCTTGCTCTGTTAAACGTCATTTGGGAAATAATAAAAAAATCAAAAAAAAAAAAAAAAAAAAAAAAAAGGGGGGCTAATAATTCTGACTTTAACTGTAGATGTCCTCCAATCTGATCAGGGTCATTTAATACTCAGGGTCTGTCAAAACAAGTCCTTATTAGAGATGAGATGGTTTAAGGAAGAAAGAACGGGGGAAAAAAAAAAAAAAAACGTTTGGTTCTCTTGTCACGGTTGTTTTTATTTTCCCTTCAATTAAATGATTTTTCAGAATATCATCCTTTGTGATCAAAGAAAACAAAACCCAGAATATAAATTTTTGTATGAACTATCCCTTTAACAGTGTGCTTGTGTATTTCTAATTTTGTAAAACGTAAACATTTTTTGACTGTTTCCCAGACTGTAGCGAAACCACATAAGACTATTTGCCAGAGGCTGTGGATTATTGCTAATCATACAGGTCATCCAAAAAACATTCATAGCGCTTCACTTTTTCCACATTTTTATGTTACAGTCTTATTCCAAAATGGATTAAATTCATCGATTTACAAAAATCACACAAACATAAGTATTTACAGCCTTTGCCGTGAAGCTCTAAATTGAGCGCAGGTACATTCTGATTCTACTGATCATACTTGAGATGTTTCAGCAGCTTAATTAGAGTTCACTGTGGTCAATTTCATTAAAAGGACATGATTTGAAAAGGCATACACCTGTTTATATAAGGTCTCAAGGTTTACAGTGCATGTCAAAGCACAAAATCGAGCATGAAGACAAAGGAATTGTCTGTAGACCGAATTGTCTCGGGCCACAAGGCTGGGGAAGGTTTCAGAAACAATTCTGCTGCTCTGAAAGTTCCAGTGAGCAGAGTGGCCTCCATCATCCATAAGTGGAAGATGTTTGAAACCACCAGGACTGTACCTAGAGCTGGCCAGCCATCTAAGCTGAGTGATCAGAAGGGCAGAAGGGCATTAGTCAGGGAGGTGATCAAGAACCCAATGGTCACTCTGATTGAGCTTCAGCGTTCTTCTGTGGAGAGAGGAGAACCTTACAGAAGGACAACCATCTCTGCAGCAATCCACCAATCAGGCCTGTATGGTAGAGAGGCCAGACGAAAGCCACTCCCCGCCTGAAATTGGCCAAAAGGCATCTGAAGGACTCTCAGACCATAAGAAACAAAATTCTCTGGTCTGATGAGACTAAATTTGAACTCTCTAGAGTGAATGCCAGGCGTTCTGTTTAGAGAAAAGCAGACACCACTCATCACCAGGCTAATACCATCCCTACAGTAAAGCATGGTGGAGGCAGCATTATGCTGTGTGGGATGTTTTTCAGCAGCAGGAACTGGAAGACCAGTCGGGATAGAGGGAAAGACAAATGCAGCAATGTACAGAGACATCCTTAATGAAAACCTGCTTCAGAGTGCTCTTGACCTCAGTGTGCAAAAGGACCGCTGATGTCTACGTCCCGGATGACACCAACCAATCAGTGCACACGGGAGATAACGCTGGCGATAACACCTGCTATCAAACTCACTCGGCAAAAAGGGACAAAACAGTCACTACTGGTATGCTGTGCTACAGTGTGCGTGTCTTAAAAGTAAGTGATCACTATTTATAAAGTTATTATTGACAGAAGATCAGCTGTTGATCACGTACCACCTGTAGCAGCTTGTTAGCACAGTACTGCTTATATTACCAGCTTAAACTCGGGAATTACCAAGTGTTTAAGTACAAGTTGTAGTTATATGTTCATATGTACACATTTTAGTATGTTACTGATGTATGTTTATAGTATATTACGTATGTGCGCGTTATGCGACGATAATTGGCTACCTGCGGTGATCATTCAAGTTGGACATGCCCAGACAAAGACCCTGCCATCATGCGGCATTCATGTGCTCTTGGCTTTCTTGGCATTCATGGCGCCCTCTTGTGGACACTCGGAGAAGTGCACCTTTATTATCTACTGGGCCATTATTTTCTTACTATACTTGTTGTATGCTGTTCAGTTAGTAATGTTTATTGTGAAACATCTGTATTGATTATTCTTTATTTGTTTCAGAAACCACACATATGTTCCATTGTATACCAAGTGCTTCAGTAAATGAAAATCACATCTAATACCCTGAGTGCCTCTCTTCAATTAAGTAACCATCTCACTCAGTTCTGACCCACTGCCTATTGTGTTTCACACCCAAATTTAATACATCCACGAACCCCTCCATTTCACTCAGGCTGGGATTATGGTTCATCTTCCAGCAAGACAATGACCCAAAGCACACCACCAAAATATCAATGAAGTGACTTCACAACAACTCGGCGAATGTCCTTGAGTGTCCCAGGCAAAGCCCAAACCTAAATCCTATTGAACATCTCTGGAGAGATCTGAAAATGGCTGTACACCATCGCTTCCCATCTAACCTGATAGAGCTTGAGAGGTACTGCAAAGAGGTATGGGCAAAAACTCCAAAAGACAGGTGTGCCAAGCTTGTGGCATCATAATCAAGAAGACTTGAGGCTGTAATTGCTGCCAAAGGTGCATCAAACTATTGAGCAATGGCTGTGAATACTGATGTACATGTGATTGTTCAGGTTTTTTTATTTTAAATAAATTTGCTATAATTTCAAAAAATCTTTTTTCACATTGTCATTATGGGGTATTGTGTGGGAACTGTCCCCATTTATTTATTTCTATAACCACAATGTATAAAGTGTATTTTAAGAGTGTTTTGAGACCACCCCCAAATTACAGTGCATGTGTTTTTTGGAAACTAATTCACCATCTCCTCCCCTGTCTATTTCTACTGTACTGTTTGTTCTCTCCATTCTGCATTTTAAAAATATGTCGGATAGGACCCTCCCTCACCTGACCTCTCGTGTGCATGGTAATGCTTAAGGTGAATGTAATATTGGAAGCTCTGTGCATTCTTCTGGAAAAGTGTGCTTGAATTTGAAATATTCCATGTCCGTGATATTTAAACATTTTACATCGTCAACAAAATTATTTTGTTATAATAATCAATTTATTGCCCGGCCCTAGTACAGACCCATCATTTCACTTCAACAGACCTCATTCTCCTTTAGTATTCAACTGAAGAAAAAGTTATCCACACCAGCTTTGAACACATATTAGCTCCTGGGTGAACTAGATCATCTTAAAGCAGAGCTTACCCAAGCCAGTTCTCTTTTGAGGAGGTTATTTTGGATTTGGCTCCTTCTGGACTACTTCGAGCAACCAACCTGGAAGCCAAAGACTCAGAGACTCGGACTGCAGTTGTGGAACTGGAAAGAAACACATTCAATTATGCGAACAGTACAAACACTCTCTGCTACAGGCTTTTCCTTCACTTATCAAACTGGAGCTCAAAATAAGGCCCAATCCCAATTCTATTTTTGTACCCCTACCCCTTCCCCTTGGCCCTTACAGCTGAGGGTTAGCGGGAAGGGCTTCAAAATGTACCCCTAATATTTGGGACAGCACTACAGCACCTGCACACGTCATCATACGTCATCATGGGCTCTTGCTTCATATGAGATCAGACGGTTGTGACTGCTGCACTTATTCCAGTTGTGCTATTTTTAGGTATTTGTTTTCAGGAAATCACTGAAGGCAAGTTATCATGTTATCATAACGATCTAATGTGGCACTAAGATCATAACTGTACTGTGCATTTACACAGTGGCCATATTCATCTATGTAAACACACGAAAACAACACTAACATGATAGCAGACACTGTAAACAGCTCATTCCCAGCCAACAGACTTTTCTGACAGGGTATACGAGTGTCATCGAGTGTCAGAATGTCGTGGCACTGCTATATAGGAGTTATGATTATAGATTGCAAAATGAAGCGTGTTTTTTTAAAGCAACACAAATGCAGTTATGAAAATATTAAAACATGTTTGTTTGTCGTAAAAATTTGTAATAATGACAAATAATACTAATTTGTGGATCTCCTTCAGTTCTCGAAATTAACTTTTTTACTTGGTAGCACTGGTGCTCCCAACTTCAAATATTTAGAAGCACCAGAAAACATTTAGGAGCACCCCCAAAAATGAATGAGCACCATTGCAAATTGTATTTTAAGGGAGTTTTAGTATTTTAAAACAACATCAATAAGACTAACAAAAACCAAAAACAACTATCTAACTAATTCTGTGATAACTTGATATTTGTGCAATCATTCCAAAATGTATGTCCAATAATTATAGAATATTAATGATGATGAAAATATCAATAATAGTAACAATGAATTAAATTTCCCATTATGATGCTGCTTTAAATGCGCTTGAATGTAAGTTATCTGCTATAAAATGTCTGTTACTTTATGAAAAAAAAAAAATGGTTTGCAATAAATAAAAATGAAGCATTGCAGTAAGAAATATTTATTTAGTGCTTATTTTTTTATATGCATGTCAGTTTAATAAATAAAATTTCTGCTACAAAACAAAGAAAAGACTATAATAAATCATTCAATTCAATGCTGAACGCTGCAAAACAGTCATTAGTAAATATATAGAAATATAATATACATCTAAAAAAAGAATAGACAAAAGAAAGTAAGAAAAGTATTACTTCTATCACTCTTAAAAGTTTTGGTTTTAGTTTGTGTCAATTTAAATGTTCAGCCTGAGCTGATTTTCATTTTTCTGTGTTTGTGGAAAAGCAGGCGAGTCAGCTGACCCAATATACGAGCAGGCAGAGCAGGATTCTCACGATGACCACCTCTCTTTATTATAAGCCGCAGTTTCAGTGTAAACTTAGTAAAGGCAAGCTTCTTTGGCGATGATGTGTACATTTAATGTACATTTGCGCTAAACACACACTGAATCGAGACGCATCAAGATTCAGACACCTTCACTGAAAATACTCGAATTAATTAAGCTGGCGGATCGACACTCACCACATGTCATCATCTGTGCCTCAACTTTAGGTGGGGTTTGCAAACCTGTGTGCTTTTCACTCTTCAGCCGTTTGCATTCCCCGCTGTCATAAAAGCTTCCTCCCTGTCATCTAACAGTGGAAAGACTTGAGTGATTGAAAGCTAATATTAACCAATATAGCGACAGGGAAGAGCGATTCAGCACGTTTTTAGAAAAAATCTAAACTGGTAACACTACAACCATTATATGCATTTGCACAAATGCTCCCAAATATATTATGAGGTCGCATAGACTAATTTTCAGGCGCATTAGACCAAGATGGTCGCAATTTCGAGCCCTGTACTTAATTTCCGAGTTCAGCAATACTGCCGTTGTGGTTGATATATTCTGGGAAATTTTCTTACCCCTTGGTTTCAAGTGTGGTCCTGAAAAATCTTTGTTCGAAGGGCTATTCACCCCTTAGCCCTACGCCTTCAAGTTCAAGAGATTTGGGACACCCCTACCCCTTGACATGAACGCACAAAACGAGGGGTAGGGGTAAGAGGAAGAGCTAAGGGTAGAATTGGGATTGCGCCTAAATCAAAACACAGCAAACCTTTCAGCATCCACACGCAGTTTCTTAAAAGCAGTTTGTAGTGTCTCCTCTTCACACTCCTTTCCTACTTTCTCCACAGCAGCCATGATGTTCCACAGCCTTAAAACTGAAACCAAATCCATGGAGAACACACGAGTGAGCAACAATGACAAACACTATTATTTATTTTTAAAGATAAATAACTTTAAAGACTATATTTAACACAGGTTAAGTTTAACCATAATTATTAGCTCTAAACACCTCAAGGAATCTACTGTATTAAAGGAAATAACAATGCAGTGATTAAAACGTTGCTCCAGATTACACCACTGGATGTTAGAAACAATCGAGTAACGTTATCATTTAGCAAAACAACTCAAAACTTAAAATCCAACATTTACATTTTAATATCATATATCTATTTTTTTACATTGCAATAACGTTAGTTGACAGGTTCTGATTTAAGTTATAAAATAGCTCGAATATAAAGCAGCTTAGCTTAGCATTGTTTACAGCCAGATTGCGCGGTTTACATTCAGTGTTTACTTCACTTTGTAAAATATATAAACAAATATTAATCATTAGAGAAAAATACTCACGGTCAAATGACCCGAATCCGTGTAAATCCCTGACATACAGGAGTTTGTTGCTCCTGTTTTGAGGATCTGTGAGCTAACAGGCTAATGTTAGCCAGCCAGCGTGAAGTAACAATATTTGTGAGAAAACTCGCTTTAACCCGCCCGATGACAGGCTGTCGACGGGCATACCTTAACCTAGACAATACAGCAATAAAGTAACTGTTCACGACACTAAAAATAATCAACAAATTACGCCCTATATTGTCAATTTTCCACTCGCCAGTCTCTCTTGTTTACACTGAACCACTCAGAGTGACTCTGCAACAACGCAGGATTTGATGACGTAGTGCGCGTACGCGTTCACGTCAGAAGAAAACAAACGTGCTTATAGAAGCTTCTCGTATTGTCCAGCATTTTATAGTAGTTTATGTAAAGAGATGTTTAAATATCGAGTTATATGTACAATATTGAGTCTAAATTAAATTAATTAAAAATATTATTGAAAAAAGAAAAGTATTAGAATGTAGCTATTATAATACATTATTAAATTAGAACAGTAGCTGTGGGCGACGCGGTGGCGCAGTAGGTAGTGCTGTCGCCTCACAGCAAGAAGCTCGCTGGTTCGAGCTGGGTCAGTTGACGTTTCTGTGTGGAGTTTGCATATTCTCCCTGGATTAGCGTGGGTTTCCTCAGGGTTCTCCGGTTTCCCCCACAGTCCAAAATGTTGCAGTTCAAATAAATTGTTCGTACTGTCTGGGGGTTTCCAAGAGATGGGTTGCAGCTGGAAGGGCATCCACTTCTTAAAAAATATGCTGGATAAGTTGGTGGTTCATTCCGTTGTGGTGACTCCAGATAATAAAAGGACAAAGCCTAAAAAGAAAACTATTTAGATGTATATATTACATTAATTTCACATATATTTCTAATTTCTAATCTCTCAACATGGACAAAAACATTGGAAATAATTTTAATACATCAATTAACTAAATAAATACTTTTTAAATTGTTTCTTTATTTGATTTAGCTGCTAACAAATCCACACAGTATTTTGTAAATCAACAATAATTTATTCAAAACGTTTCTGTGATAAATATTAGTATTTATTACAGCATTTATTTATTTGTGTAATTATTTTTGCTTTTTTGTTTACTATCAATATTAAAAAATACAAATAATATAGAACAAAATCATATTAGCAAAATCAAAAATCAAGACAAAATACTGTGGATAATAAACATTTGTATTTAGTGTATTAAAATGTATTATGACCTATTACTTTTTTTTTAATTTAGCATTTTGGTAACACTTTATTTTGATGGTCCATTTGAGTAGATTGTCTGCTTAATATCTGCTGATACTGCTCCAACAGACTTACACTAACTCTAACCCAACAGTATAATCTAATGAGATTTAGTTGGCATGTAGATGCAATAACTTAAATTAAACAATCGAACCATCAAAATAAAGTGTGACCTAGCCTTTTATTAAATTAACACAACATATTTACAAAGACAACGTCACTTTATGAATTAATTAACCCCAACCCTTCTCCAAAATTCGCCCTCTCTTCTCAGATGGGATGGCAAGCCAAATCAAAGGTTACCTTGGGCCAACTTTGGGCATATTTTTCTCCTAGTTTGGGCATCTCTGCTCTAAACAAACCCTTTCAAATTTTCTCAAGCTCCCTGCGTTCCTTTTGAAGGTAAAACCACTGTATAAGTCAAGTACTCTATTATGGTATTTTTTTAAATACATATTATGACCAATACTTCATGCTATGGTCATATTATACACATACAGTGCCTTCTGATATCAGTCAATCATCATTATTGTTTTGGAATGGTAACTAAAATCATCTGGAGTGGATTATTTTAACTCTAAATGGCGGCCTCTAGTGGTGATCAAGTCAATTGTCTCAGGTCTCCATGCGCTCTCCTTGCAAAGCATGTTTGAATTGAAACCAACAAGCATTGAGTTGTAAAGAAGCCAGACAAAGTGCATCATAAAGCAGGAATTTATAGCAGCGCTGCAATGAAAGAACAGCCTGTATTACTGTACTAAGAAACATAACCAGATGCAAATCACATAAAAGGCAAATCCCCGGGGAATGGAAAGAGTTTGGTGAGTTCTTGTTTACTCTGTTTCTCCACATGTGCAGGAGTTTATGCTTAAAGAAAAACCATAGGAAGTCTGAAAGCAGCAGTCTGGATCTGACTATTAAATGTGGCGGATGTGTGCAGGATCTCATGCACAAACACACTTTACAGGAAAATCCAAAATGCATTTGATCAGCCACTTTGTCTGAATTCTGCAGATTGCCGAGGCGTTTGAAGTTATTTCTTCTTATGAATAAAAGAACAATGTAGACATTAATCTTGCATATGTCAGTGTGTCAGACTTTTTAAGAAAATTACAGTTACAGTTTGAAAAATTATATTAATTAAAAAAAAAAGATTTACACCTTAATTATTTATAATTAATCTCATTTTTTTACTAATTGTTTTATAGTTATTGATATTTTATGTATCCATTTTTCTGTTAAGTTAATTTAAAAATATGCATTTTTAATTTTTTTTATTTACAATTTAATTAAACTCCTTTAAAAATTAAAAACCTTGAATTTAACTATCCTCGTAGTTTATTTTAAACCTTATTACAAATTTTCATTCATTCATTTTCTTTTCGGTTTAGTCCCTTTATTAATCCGGGGTCGCCACAGCGGAATGAACCACCAACTTATCCAGCAAATGTTTTATGCAGCGTATGCCCTTCCAGCCACAACCCATCTCTGGGAAACATCCACACACATTTATTCACTCTCATACACTACAGACAATTTTAGCCTACCCAATTCCCTCATAGCGCATGTGTTTGGACTGTGGGGGAAACCGGAGCACCCGGAGGAAACCCATGCAAACGCAGGGAGAACATGCAAACTCCACACAGAAATGCCAACTGACCCAGCTGAGGCTCAAACCAGCAACCTTCTTGCTGTGAGGCGACAGCACTACCTACTGCGCCACTGCGTCGCCTTTTTTTAAAATGAATTAACAGAAAAATGGATACATAAAATAAAAAAATAAAGAATTAAACAAATAGTAAAATAGTAAGATTAAGGATTAATATATTTTTGGAAATAACAAAATGTTTCAAACTAGCTGAATGAAGTTAAATCAAAATTGTACCTCATCAGATTTAAACTGTTGATGAGGTAACATCCATAACACCACTCTCCTGCCTCCTCACTTTAATTCAGTGATTTTGTTTTGAATAAAACCCTTAAAAGATAACCATCCTTGTCTTCCTTGTGTGCCAGCATGACAGATGAATAAAGGAACTAAGCCAAATGAAAAAAAATTAAATTTAGTTTAACTATCCTCAGTTTAATTAAACCTTATTTATGCCTTATTACAAATCTTAGCTTAAACCAAAATGAATTTTAAGTTAACCTTATTACATTCATTATACATACAATTTGTATTAATTGAATTAAAATACCTTATTACTATACAATTTATTGATATTCCTTTATTTAGAAAATTAACCTTTGTTGTAAATGACTAATAATAATAAATTTATTTATATAGCCTACTTATTACGCTGTAAAAATGTTTAGTTGACTTTACATAAAATAAGTAAGTAAACCCTTTTGTCTTAGAATTTTTAAGTAAATGTACTGTGTGCATAATTATAAAAATTAGCAGAAATCAGCCCAACAGCTCCAAAGTTACAACATCTTTACTCACATTAACAATCACTTATAAATAATCACTTTTTACAGTGTAATTTACTGAAAATCCCTTATTACAATTTTATTAAACTTCTTTTATTTTAACTAACTGCATAAGTTATTAAACCTTATTAAAACCTTTAATTGTATTTATTTAATAATTTCTTATTTTCTAACCATGACAATTTAAAGTGTTTATATTATTATTATCTCAACTATTACTCTTCCAATTATTATTCTCAATTATTTACCTGTTTAAATAATTGTTTATCAATTGTTTGCCCTCAATTATTATTCTCTAATGTATACAATGACATTTGCACAGTAAATCCATTTGCACAGCCTGTTTATGTCATCCACCAGCAGGTAGAGCTGTAGCGCATCTTAAGCTCAAGTGCACTTGTGAAGAGACATGTTTGAATAAGGACCCTCCTGCAACCTTTTTTATGACTGAGTTATCACTAAAACAATAAACAAAGGAATAAGCAGCACAAACTAAATGTATTCAAGTGTACATGTACATTAAGTATTTGTTTCAGCTGTTGAGACGTCTTAAGAGCTTTAGGATTACACTGTATTGAATAATAAAAAAATTTTATTTACTATTGAAGGTGAAATATCTAAACGTATATAAAATTTCTAAAAATAATCGTTCTTTGAGGAACATTGTTTTTAGACATTACAATAATGTTCTTCATCGCAGTGTCATTGTGAATACGTACTCACGTATACATTTCTGGAGAGTGCGAATTATGTAGCCAGAGGTACGTATGGTTGCATTTCGTCCTTAAAACTCAAGGGGCTGAGCAGACCGTTTGCCTCCGTATGGACGGCTTTACCGCTGTTATCAGTTTGTCCAGTGGCTAGCTGCGTACAAGGAGTGGAGTTGACTGCGACGATGGTTCGAGTTTGATGAAAAAGTAGTTCCAGAAAGCAGGTAAGACAAAAACAAACAGCAAAAAATTTAACAAAGAAATAAATAACAGGTTGAGAACGTGGCAAGATCTAAAAACTTGGTAAAAATCAGGCGCTCACGAGGGCTTTTCTGGATTGCTTTCAAAAATACTGTCGGTTGGGTTTAGGGAAGGGTGTGGGTGAGGTAATTTGTTGGTCTGTCAGTCTACAGCGGCCTCTGGTGGATTTACATGAGAACAGCAGGCGTGGATGCCACTCGCAAGAGAAATTCGAGATCTGAAAAAGCCTACACAGCAGCGTCTGGTAGATTCGCGAAAACAAAAACTGCTAAATAACGTACCTCCTGAGATGTATTTCACTCTCCAGAATTGTACACAGGGATATGTATCCATAATGAGCCCAAGTTGATTTTCTCACATATCTGTTGGCAAATTGGTGATCCTCGGCCCATCAATGCTCTTAAAGGACTAGACTTTTCTTGTATGCTGCTTTTGTACCAAATCATAATTACAATCACCTGTTTCAAATCACATCCTTATTTACCCAATTTACCCGATCACTGGCCCTAAATTGCTCCTGTATCAACTTTTTGTACCAAAATTGGGTAAAAAAATTCTGCAGTGTCAGAAACCAAAGTAAACTTT